TATTTTTATTATTTTATTATTTTTATTCATGTTCTAGTTTATTCATGTTCTATTGACCCTTTAATCATTATAGAGTGACCTTCCTTGTCCTTTGTGATTGTTTTTGCATTGAAATTTATTAGTAATATTATTAGAAGTAATATTGCTTCTGCTTTTTTCTGATTGCCATTTGCTTGGTATATTTTTCCCCATTTATTTTTAGTCTTTATCTTCTCTTTGCAGGTATGTCTTTTGTAGAAAAACATTGATGGATTTTTTTTTAATCCAATCTGCTACTCTTTTTCTCTTCACTGTTGCATTTCAACCATTTACATTCAGTGTGATTATTGAGAGGCACGCTCTTATTGCTATCAGTTTGTTGAGTTGTTTTTTGGTGGTGTTGGTAGTTACTTTGGTCCATCCTCCTTTCTGGGGCACTTCTCTAAGAAGGATGTTTCTCAGTGTTTTCTGCAATGCTGATCTTTTTTTACAAACTCTTTTAGGTTCTGTTTTTCTGGGAATATCTTGATCTCTCCATATTTAATGGACAGTTTTGCTGGGTACAAATTCTTGGTTGACAGTTATGTTCTTTGAGTGTTCGACATATGTCTTCTTGCTCACATGGTTTCTGCTGAGTAATTGGCACTTAGTCATATCTGCTCCCTTGTAGGTTACTTTGTTTCTCTCTTGCTGCTTTCAGAATTCTCTCCTTATCCTTGGTTCTGGCAAATTTGACTATGATATGCCTTGGTGTTTTTCTTTTGGGGCTCTCTTCTTATATGGTATTCTCTCAGCTTCTCCAATATATGTTACATCATTCTTCATTATGCCTGGAAAGTTTTGTTATAGTACTTCTTCACAACTTTTTCAGTGCCTTTACTTGATTCTTCAAGTTTGTCTTTCACCCACTGAAAATATTCAGTCATTATTCTTTTTTATTTTATTTTATTTTTTTATTTTTTTTCAGTCATTGTTCTTTTAAATTCTGTGTCAGAAAGCTTCAGGAAACCCATTGGTATTGTGTCCCTTTTTGGTGGTGACATCTTGTGTAGCTTGTGAGGTGGCCTGTTTCTTTTGTAATCATGCTGTGATAGGGGTTTTTTATGCCTGAAGTGAGGATAGATTATTGATCTGAAATCACTGCTACAGATGAGGGTGCAGCAGTTATGTTGCCTGTGTTCCTCTCTGAATTTCTGAACCAAGGGAAGTATCTGTTCATCGCTTGTGAAAGTGGCCTCTTCTCTTGGATAATTGTTACAGCTTAGTCATACCAAGGTGCTCTGGGTTAAAGGCAGTTAGTTGACTGGACATAAGGAGATGCAAGGCTGAGGGGGAGGGACAAACAGGCGGGGCAGGCACAAGCACAGGTGTATGCCAGGTGGGTGTGTGCTCTGATTCCACAAGCTGGGACCTCACTCAGGCTGCAGCTGTATGGCTCGTGCCTTGTGGTGCTAGCTTCCAGATGGGCACAGGTCAGGACATCACTCACTTTGCATCCCTTCCACTCATGCCTGGCAGGGCTACCTGCCCAGGTAGGGATGTGCAGAGAACCGAGCAAGGAACTCACTCAGTTTTGCAGCTGTCTTGCTCATGCTTAACGGGGCTACTTACCCTTGTGGGGACTTGCAGGGACCTCACTCAGGTTGCAGATGTCTGGCTTGCACCTGGTGGGCCTGGCTTTCGAGTGGTCATGTGTGAGTACCTCAGTCAAGTTGCAGATGTCTGGCTGGGGACAGGTCATCCGGTCTGGCGGGCAAGTGGTCCGGGTGGTCTGGTGGAGCAGTCGGCCTGTGTGTTCTGCCCATATATGTATTTCTTAATTTGCTTATTTGTGGTTCTTGGTGGTACAGATGACTAACGTATTCCACTGCTAACCAAAAATTATGTAGAGTTTTCAAAGGCCTGTCATTTCGGAAGTGGATGGCCAATCCTTCTTCCTAGTCTGTCTCAATTTTTAAATATATATAATAGTACCTGCAGATAAGCATTCCATAGAAAAGGGCCGGTTAGAAAAATGATCACTATTTAATGTTGCTCCCCACCCCGCTACTTGATGGTGAAGAGACTGAGGTAGTTAACAGTTTTAGTTTACTTGGTTCCACTGGCAACACTCTTGGTAACAGCAGCCAGAAAATCAGGAGACGAATTGCATTGGTCAGCTGTGACGGACCTCTGAAGAGTACTGTAGAGTAAAGTCAGGCTGGAGACTAAGGTGCGCCTGATCCAGGCTGTAATCTTCACAGTTACGTGCTCTGCATCAGAGAGTTGGACCGTGAATAGGGATGATAGAGAATTGATGCCTTTGAGCTGTGGTGCTGGAGAAGAGTGTTGAATATACCATGGACTGTTAGGAGAACAAACATGTTTGTCCTGGAGAAAGTGAAGCTGGAGTTCTCCTTGGAGTCAAGGATTCTGAAGCTTCGTCTGACATACTTTGGGCATGTTGCAAGGAGGGACACAGGTCCTTGGAGAAGGACATCATGTTTGCGAGAGTGGAGGGATGGTGCAGGAGTGGAAGATCCTTGAGGAGATGGATCGATTCTGTGAGTGGAGTGGTGGGAATGAGTGTGTTTGAGACATGAAGTTGGCATAGGATAGAACGGCGTTTAGGGCTCTTGTGTATAGGGTCGCTATGAGTCGCAAGTGACTCGATGGTACATAACAACAAAATTTAGCAATTTGAGTCTGCCCAGAGGTGCCTCAGGTTGGGCTTTAGTTGCTTACCTGCTTCGGAGCATTTCTGTGATGTGCATGGGGTTACTGGGAATCGGAGTTGATGTGAACAAATAGGTGTTTTGGTTTGCTTGTTGTTTTTATTTGTGTTATTTAACAATGTTTATTTTTGATGCCTTTATCTCAAATTCTGTTGAATTTTTTTATTATATTTACATTTTAATGTGACTTTTTGTGTATTATTTTTGTTTCTTGCCACTTTGAACTTCGCAGTAAAATCATTAGGAAGTGTAGTGAAGTGACAGTGCACTTACTATAAGCTGTGAGAGGGATGTATGATTAAGATCAGACATAGTATAGCAACATTCAAGAGTGAAACACTTATCTTCACATGGAAAGTTAGGCCTGGTTGCCAGTGGGTGAAGCCCTATGATTCTTCCACAGATGTATGTTGAATTTGTACAAAAACATATATATTTTTTTCCCCAATCTTTTTGTCTAGAGTGGGAATTGGCCTCCTATCTCAGGGACTCACTAATTTCACAGGATTATGAAGGGAGGAAAAAAAAGTAAAAAATCATGATTGGTGTTCCTGGCTATACATTGGAACTGTTTTTTCTTTTCCTTTTTTTTTTCAAAAAAATATTAAGGGTGATTTTTAGGAGCTCTAGTGGCTTAATGTATAACCTGTCAGGCTGCTGAGTGAAAGTCAGTGATCCAAATCCTCCATTGATCAATGGCAATGAGATAAGCTGCCTCCTGTAAACATTTATTGCTTTAGAGACACAGTGGAGGCTGTGTTGAATCCACATGGAGTCAAAAGGCAATGAATGGTTATCTAGTCAGACCATGCTAGTGAATGATTAAGTGGTTTCAGACCATTGTGAAGGCAATGAATATCCACTGGCATTGAGTCAATTCTAGTTGATAACAGCCGTGGAAAGAGAGTGGTTTTCATGGCCATGAACATTTATGGAAGCAGATTGTCATCTTTCTCTCACAGAGTAACTGCTAAGTTTGGAACATGGACCTTTTCATTAGCAGTCAAATGTTAACTAGATTATTTAACCATTGTACCACCAGAATTTCTAGAGACGACTAGACAGCACATAACAACAACCACCACAACCAGAATTTCTAGAGAGATGGGTTAGAAATATGAAAAGCAATAAGAAAAGAAAGGTGGCCAAAATTGCAGTCAAAATGCAGCATTTTAGAATCTAAACTGATGAGATTATTAGGCTTGGAACTGCCTTGTTTCACAGATACACTAAGTATGGTACAGTGAGCTCCAGTGGCTTATTGGAAAGGAGTCATGATGTCAGTGCAAAGGTACATGGTTTGAATCCACCAGCTGCTTTGTGGGAGAAAGATGGGCAGTCAACTCCTGTGCAGTGAACCTGTACCAGTCAGATCCGATTTGACAGTACATACAGGAGGAGATTGTCCCTCCTTCTCTGGCACAGTATCTAGTGGATTCGCAAGGCAGTATTTTTATGGAAATGAAACTCTTGTGGCATAGATCTCTGCAGTGTTGTTGTACTGCTAATCAAAAGGTGGTGCATCTCCAGCTATTCGGATCCACAAACAAAGGAGACAGAAGGGCAGTCTCCTCATTTAAGGTTTACAGCCTCAGAGACCTGATAAAGGGTTGCTATGAGTCTGAACAGACTCAATGACAGAGTTTTTTACAATCTTTACCACAGCCAACTGAACTCTCTGAACATGCCTCCTATAAGAGCAATATGCTTCTACAGGAGCAACTTGCTTCATAAACAGGCCAAAGTAGCTATACTTGTTTGAAATATAGCTAATCTTGTAATAATAGTAATAATAATAATAATACTGCCTTAGCCATCCTATGAGGAGTTTCCTCCTACAGAATCAACTGTGAGTTGAATGGCAACAAATTTGGTTTAGGAAGATAAGTAATGCTGCCTTCTTGAAGGTGTTTAGACATAAGTATTTTGCTTTGTTTCCTTATCTTTTAGAAGTGCCTACCTGATGTTACACTGCCAGCCGTATTTTATTTTCCTAAAAATAATGGGAGAACTATGTGAGAAAGAGCAGGAAAGTAGTATTACTAAAGAAGTATTTTAGTAAGACTGGTGTGGAAGACTGAGAAGGAAGATGAGTGTGTTACACAATCTGTTATCATTCAAAACCCAACCTCATGAGTGAACCATTTAAGTCCCATGACCTGTGTTTTAACTCATTGGTTGCAGATACGCAGAAAGAGAATCAGTACATCCCAGCCATTTTCGACTTAGATAAATACTGTCTCTAAACATTGACAGCTGTTTTTAACTTATTTTTTTACCAACCCCTGCAATACAACAGTTGGGTGAATTATAACATGCAGATTGCGTATGTACCTTATTTTTCTTCTGAATAGAAACTCCAAGAGTATTGTTAACCTTTAGCAGTCGTTGTAATACAGTTATTACACCTGTTTACCTCATTGAGGTAAAAAGATTGAAATGATTACATTTTTCTAGTTTTAATTTTCTTTTATACTTTCTATTTTTCTTCAAAATGTTTTAGTGTTTTTAAGAGCTGTTAAATTGGTTTTATGAACTGGAATATCACTAAATATTACAGTAGGTGAATATTTCTTTTCATGAAAACATAATGCTTAAAATATTCAGAATAACAGAAACTCTGAATTCTTAGAATTAAAGATTCTTTTCCCTCTTCATCAGTTTTTGAGTGCCCAGGAATTTCTATTAGATTTTATGTAAAGGACTGAGATGATTATTTTGTTGACAACGTGACAAAACCCACCTTTGACTTTAATTTGTTCTCTCTTACAGGCATTTACTTGGTCTTTGCATTTGAGAAGCAGCAGTGAGCACCTGTGTGTGCGGTGGCAGCAAGACAGTTATTTCATTTTAGAAGAACAACAACTTTCTATGTATTTTATTTATGCTAAATGTACAAGATCCTGCAGAAACTCTAGTACATAAGTTCAGCAGTTGCTGTCTGATAGATGATGAATAAACCAGGGCTTTTTGTCTTAAATCACCTATTTTTAAGCAATGTTTTGAGAATTTTCTTTGCTTCTGCTCTGTTAGCTTGCACAAATGCCATGCTGACTTGTTAAGCAGCTAAGCACTTCCCACAGTGCTCTGATTTGTTCTTTCTTGTACAGTAGTGAATGTGCCATACTTCCAGAGTCGGTGAGAAGTGTGCAGGACTTTGTGCCTGCTTCTCTGTGTGATCTTGTTACATAGTGTTTTCAAGATAAATGAGTTGTGTTTTATACCACCGAGTGTCAATTTTCCATCTGTATTCAGAAGCTTAAAACTCAGTTTTTTACACCACAACAAGATAAAGGTAAATAATCCAATAGAAAAATGGGCACAGGCAGTTTTCCTCCAGCTTTGGGTGGTGGCTGTCGCTGGGCTCCGGCTCGCAGCCCGCTGAGCGCGAGGCGGAGTGGACAGCAGTCCTGGCACCCCGCGCCCCTGCGCCCCCTGCCGCGCGCTTGGCCCAGATGCAGGCCATCAAGTGTGTGGTGGTGGGAGATGGGTGAGTGTGCGCCGGGCCGGGCGGGGGTGGGGGGGGGGGGGGGGGTGGGGGGGTCGGGCCCGGCCCCTCCCAGCCAGGCCCTGGCCCGGCCTCTCTTCCCCTCCCGGGGCCAGGCTGCGGCATGGGGCCCCTGCGCTCTCGCCGGGACTGGGCGGCGCAGGCCTGGTTCCGCCTTTGCTAGCCATCGGTAAGACCTGCCTGCTCATCAGCTACACAACCAATGCCTTTCCTGGAGAGTACATCCCCACCGTTTTTGACAACTACTCTGCCAGTGTTATGGTGATGGAAAACCCGTGAACCTGGGGTTATGGGACACAGCTGGACAAGAAGACTATGACCGACCGATTGTGCCCCCTCTCCTACCCGCAAACGGACGTGTTCTTAATCTGCTTTTCCTTGGTGAGCCCTGCATCATTCGAAAATGTCTGTGCAAAGTGGTACCCTTAGGTGCGACACCATTGTCCCAACACTCTCATCATCCTTGAGGGGACCAAGCTTGATCTGAGGGATGACAAGGACATGATCGAGAAGCTCAAAGAGAAGAAGTTGACCCCCATCAGCTACCCGCAGGGCTTGGCAATGGTGAAGGAGATCGGTGCTGTCAAATAACCTCGAGTGCTCAGCACTCATGCAGCGTGGCCTTAAGACAGTGTTCCACGAAGCCATCAGAGCCGTCCTGTGCCCCCCCCCGCCCCCCCCAAGAAGAGGAAGAGAAAATGCCTACTGCTGTAAACGTCCCAGCCCGCCCGCCTGCCTTGGACCCTTCATAGGCTTTGCTCAAAACAAAACAGTGGAGCCTTCACACTCAATGCCAAGTTTTTGTTACAGATTAGTTTTTCCATAAAACCATTTTGAACCAATCAGTAATTTCAAAGTACTATCGAATCGAAGAGGTCAGAACTTTCACATTCTATTAAAATTTAGCCCCTAAACTATAAGCCTTATTAAAAATAGCCTTATTTTTCAAAAGGCCCCACCTAGTCTAGTTCAGATGAATTGCCAAAATCCCCTGTGAATTAAGTTGCATTGTTGTGCTGCAAACACTAAGCACTAAACTGCTGGGAAGCCCTCTGTCTAAAGACTCTAGCTTCTGATGTCAGGAGAGGCAGCCGCTTGCGATTGATCCCAGACGCCTCACAGTCCAGCCTCCTAACAAGACGTTGCCATTAACTGTCCCTAGTTCTTCCCGTGCTCACTCGTAGCGCTGACCACGGGTCCTTGTGGAGCCTGGCGCTCACTCCTCTGTGACTCTGCTTTCGTAGTGACATTTTCCAGACCATTAGTTAGCCGTCCTGGATATCCCCACCAGGAGGCCTCGGCGTCTCCTGCGATGAAGGATTCTGAGTGGGCGACACCTGGGTCAACAGAGGCTGAAGACAGTATTTTGACATAATCTCGAGTGGCAGCCGGTTTACACTACATCGAACACACGTCCTGCAGCGGAACGGTGTCACGGGTGGAAGGGGGGCAAGGGCATTCTGTCAGATCCACACAAGGGCACACAGGTCAGTGGTGTCAGAGTTCCAAGACCCCTGCGCCCCCTTGGGCCTTTAACCCCTGGCTGGCCATTCCTGTAGATGCTGACATAGTGAGTGCTTCCCTTCTAGACCCACAATGAGCAATACGTCTCCTTGTATTATAAACTCTCTGATGATACATTAGAAGTCCATTCTGCGTAGGCGAGTCCAGTGCATTCGTGCCACATTTCTTTCCTCAAGGCTGAGAAGTGCTTGCTTTCTTTAGTCTCCTAGTAACTAGGTGTCAAGATCCCGTGTTGCCGCTTGACCCTTTTTCTAATCTTTAGACCTCCTTACACCGTGCTCCTCCTCCTCGTCACAGTCCTGCTGTAACTGACTAACGACCCTCCGCCTTGCCCACGTGGACACACCTCCTGCCCCTGCTTCCCCAGGTCCGGGGCTGCGATTTGGCCAGCGCAGCGCTTAAATGTCAGGCACCTCACACGCTGGCCGGACGCAGCTGTGGACCTTTCAACCACTAGAACCAAATTTTTTAAATTGACAGTTGCAGAATTGTGGATTGTTTTTACACTGATCTTTTTGCTAGTGCAATTAGCACTATGTTTTGTATGTATGACTTAATAAATCCTTGATCATAAAAGAAAAATGAGCACAGGATATGAACAGACACGTCACCAAAGACTACATTCAGATGGCTAACAAGCACATGAAGAAATGTTCAAAATCCCTAGCTCTAAGAGAGATACAAATTAAGACAACTATGAGATATCTCACGCCAGTCAGAATAGCAAAATTTTAACAGAACAGCAAGCAACAAATGCTGGAGAGATTGTGGAGAAACTGGAACGCTTAGTCACTGTTGGTGGGAGTGTAAAATGGTGCAACTTCTGTGGAAGGCGGTATGGCGCTGTCTCAAAAAGTTGCAAATAGAGATACCCTATGACCCAGCAATTCCACTACTGGGAATATACCCCGCAGAGACCATAACTGACATCCAAGCAGATATATGCACACCCATGTTTACTGCAGCTTTGTTCACAATAGAAAGGAGTTGGAAACAACCTAAGTGCCCATCAGCAAATGAATAGATAGAGAAGCTGTGGTATATTCACACAATGGAATACTATGCTACATAGAAAAACAAGGAACTCATGCAATATTATTCAAAATGGGTGAATCTGGAGGACATTATGGTGAGTGAAGTATCTCAGTCACAAAAGGACAAATACTGCATGGTGCCACGGCTGTAAAACAAGACTGACATCAGGGTTGGGGGGAGACTGAGAAAGACAGGTTCAATAATATATACTGCATTGAAACAGATAAGGGAGAAAACTGTTTAAAAGGGTTAGGTGATTAGGTATTTTTGTCATGACAGGAGTCTAGAGCAAAGGTTTGCGTAGTGGAGTAGATCTTGGGGAGGATTGTAAAACAATGAAAGAATTTTACTTTTCCAAGAAGGTAGTGTACTAGGGGGGAGAGTTGAGAGGGGAGAATAGTACAACAATGAATGGAAACAAACAGAAAACCCAAACAAAAAAAAACCCACACCCAAAACCTCAGTTTTAGATGTTCATAAAATTCAAGGCACATTATTTAGCTAAAATTTTAACCAGTTAATGCATTTATATATAATTAATAATTAACTTTCATTTGCTGATATGCTACAATTCTGAAAGTGTTTAGACATTTTAGATAGTAGCATAGGATGGTTTTTGTAATTTAGAGGATTAAGCATTTCATACCAAAGCAATTAATGTGTTTCATTGTCAGGAATGCACCTAGACAAATTGACTTGACTTTATTGGAAAAAAAACCAACTAATTTTTCTCAAAACTTAATTAAAATATCTCCCAGAGAGATTTTAGAAAAGTTACACATTTTTCTCCTATTTCTAAGTGGTTCTACTGTGAAATCTGAGAAATTTTTTAAGTGTATGACTGTGAAAGAAGCAGATTCATTTCCAGTGATGTCAGAGCTCTGTTACAGATACTGTGTATTATACCCTTGCAGTTTAGAAATAAGAACTGTTTCTGTCTCATTGAGTCAGTACTTTGCAAAGTAGGATCTACTACCTAATTTACTTGCCATTTCATAATCATTATATCAGTTCTTCTGTAACTGGCACCAACATCAAAGAAGTAAAGATTTATCTTTACATCATAGTTTGGGAACTTAATAATTTTCCGATATAGTGAGAAACTTGAGCAAAGCAATTATGTATTTGTAGTTACTGTATATTCTTCTAAAATAATTTATTTAAAAAATAAAGACTTTG